GCAGGGTTGTTCTTCCTTCCACCCTGTTCCAGTGGGGAGGTTCCTGGGCCTTTCAGAAGGATGTAGGCAACTTTTTTTGGCTCTTGCATCCAGCTGGCGCTGCTGGTCTGTACATGGAGGGTGGCTTCTTGAGAGGAGTGAGCAGGCCTTAAAATGAGGACGTGAGAGAGTATTTTGAGTGATTTTTTCCCCTCAACTGTGTGCATGTAGGTAGATGACTTAAAGCATAGCTCTGCACGGCACCTAGCAGTAAGATGAAAAGAAATGTTAGTGTTTGTCTTCGTTCCTTTTGTTCAGGTTGTGTGTTCCTCGTTACCAGTGTTCTGTTRAAGCAGCGGTAGGAGTCTTGCCGTCTGGTATCTTATTCGATTGCAAACTGAAGAGTTTTAAATATGTATATGTATGTTAGACCTGGACGTGGTCCCATGCAAAATGTAATGAAGCTGGGTTACTCTGACCTCTGCGCTCCAACATGTGTTTGTTTTGGCTCTCTCGCAAAAACCTGCAGCATACAAATTGGCACTTGTAAAATTGTTCAGATAAATCAAAACTGGTACAGAAAAAAAGTTTCAAACTGTTTCTTTTGGGCTTCTTTGCCTTGCTATTTTTGCAGTGTGTTTTCAGAGGAGTGTTTTTGTGGCAGCAGGCAGTTTGTAGCTTGAAGAGAGCTAAAATATTCTAGGAAGTTGGGCTCGCTGAATTTAGATCTTAAGCGCTGCCAAAACTAATATAGCCTGAAACGAAGTGAGAGTGACTTTGTGCAGTGAATGTCAGTCACCCGCCGCTTCGTCTTGCGTTTTCGTGCGGGCCTTTAGGACAGGAAAACAAAAGCAGCGCCCCGAAAACGCGGTAGCTGCTCCCATGGACATGAGGGAGCCGCCTGTGGTGTGTGTGAGGGCTGGACCCTGGGCAAACTGGGGCTGACTGGGAAGAGGCGCCGGCGGCCGGAGCTGCTCCTGGCCTGCAGTGCCCTCTGATGGCTCCGGCGGAAATCTCTGGGGCGATAACCCGGTGAAGGCGGCAGCGCTTAGGAGTCTAATTTCCCGGGATGTGTGACACGGATAGTTTCGAGTTTTGTATCCTAGGGAAGCCCAGTAGCCACACGTGGATGCGCGATGCGCGTGGGAAGCCCTGGCTGAAGCGGCGGCGAGCAGCAGAGCAGCCCAGCTCGCCGGCCCCTCACACTGCCGCAGAGCTCAGCCTCGCTAGGGCCTGCGCACGGCTCAGGATCCCGGCGGCCTAGAGGCTGCAACTGCACTGGCCCCTGCCTGACTCTGCGGCGCTAAACGAATCCAGAACAAACGAGGCTCTGAAAATATGGGGAAGAATTTGACACCTGGGCTCCAGGAAACATTTGTGCATTTTGATGAGGAGCGGTAGGGGGGAGGGGAAAGCTCACAGTTCAGTGCAGTTAAATATATGGTGTGCTAAGTGTGAATAAATTGTGACTATTTTAAACAAGTTCATATACTCTGTGGCTGGCTCGAGCACAAAGGGAAAGACGACAGCTACAACGTACGAGTTCCTTAAAGGGTTACTGGGAGGCCACGTACCGGGCTGCTGGGAGTGCGTTGCAATGGTCAACTTTGATCACTTATATAAGTGGCGATTTTTGGATATGTAATCCTTTTTCTTTTCTTTTTTTTTAAAGGGCTTGTCTTGGCACTTAAGAGCAAGAAGGTTTTGCCTTCTTGTAGCTTTACATTTTGGTGCTGTTACTTTAGGAACTTCCTTGCTCCTGCAGGATTCCTTGGTGCTGTACGTGAAAATTAAGTTCTCTGTGAACAGACCAAGCCCTGTTCGTGCCCATTTTAAGATGCCCGTCTCGAGTGGAGGTGCCCCTGCACTGTCCCCACACCTGTGCATGTTCCCTCTCYGCTGCGATCCACTATCCTGCAGAGGATCCAAATTCCTTAAACTCAGGTGGAGTCCCTTTTATAATCCATTGGGATACCTGTACAGCAACATGTTAATTCTGTGTTTTTGGTCTTTTTTTTCCTCCCAGTCTGTAAATTCCACTCAGGAAAAGGAGCCTTTTACATCAAAGCAGCAGCTGAAACCCGGTCCTGCTGCTAGGGACTAAAAATCACTGTTATCCTGCAGTTTATCCCGAGCCGAGAYGATTGAGCCCGGAGGCTCAAGGTGGATGTGCGATCCCCACCAGTGCATGTCCTAACCTCACATGGAGCCAGGTGCTCAGTTCARGTAGACATGGCCCCTGAAGCGCCCYGGGACACCCCTTCTGGACACTTTTAGAGAGTCACTGCCTGTTTACCAGCCTGCTGCCAGCACTGGCTCCTCTTAAAAACAATGCCAAAGCACCTGGTCTAGTCCTATTTACAAGATGTAACTATATGAATTCAGTGCTTGATGTCTTATTTTAGCTGATCTCGTTCTTCTGGGCTCATTTAGTTCAGAGGAAAGTCCTAAGACAAGCTCCCCCCGCCCCAAAAAAAAAACCAAAGCAAAAAAACATTAATTTTAATAAGAAAGCAAGGTGCAGTGCGCAGCTGTGAAAGCTTCTGCTAATTTGCAGAGAATATCTATTAATGATTACAGCTTAAGACTTCATAGATCTGTATTTTCCAAAGTGATTTTTATTGCATTCCTGGTGACAATCGCACTGTGATTCCACTGCTTGTGAGGAAGGCTGAGCTTTTCTGCAGCGCTGCTCCACTTGCTGGACTGAACCGTGTCGCTGGGTCGGGTACGTTGCTCTTCTCTTCCTGTACAATAGCTCCCTCTGCTTGAAAACAGCAGTGTAATTAGAGCCTGTAAAAGGAGRCCCCTGTCTGGCATTTGCCTGATCAACAGTTTTTAATATGGYCCTTTTTTTTAAGAAGTTTTCTTTTACAACTCCTCAAAAGGCAATTCCAACATGTTGCTTATGCTTGTGCATGTGAGATGTTGAGGCTTTACTGTATAGGAGCCCTGCATATTTGCAGTATCTCTGTCCTGTCCATTTTAGCATGAAGATTAGAGCAGGTTGGAACATTTTCGSTAAGACTTGATTGAACTGTCATCTGATTTCAGTGAAAACAGGMAAGGTGTTTATTAGAAATACTGTGGCTGGGGCACACAGGAGAAGCTGATGGTGAGATTCTACTTTAGTGTCCTATGTAAGGGATTCTGATGTGAGATTTAAAAAAATAAAAAATTTGGATCAGATAGAACAAGAATTTGGGTTTGGTTCTGCCATGTTCTCAGTCACTGCGTTTTACTTGTGAATTATTGGCTGCTCATCTGCAGCAGGAAGTACGAGTGCTGTGGGTGCTGAGTTGTGGGTTTTTTTCTTTTAGACAGTATAACTAAGCCAGCAAAAATCATAGTATTAATGCTGCAGTGTCAGCAAAGGTGCAGTTTTGCTGAGAGACAGTTTGCCCATTTAGGGACCCACCATAAACCTTGTTTGCAGGGCAAGATGAAGCCGTGTCAGGAGCACTTGCTGGCTGAGCTGAGCCTAGCAAAGCCTTCCTAACAGATACYGCCTTACTTCCTTGAAGTGCAAAAGTTTGTGTTTATTTTGCACCAAAACAGAACCAAAAAATCTAAAAATCCCTAAAGTCTGTGTCAAATAGAGTATTTGTTCTGTGGGCAGCTGTCATGGGGAGGCTTGGGCAYGTGGCTCCGTCGGGACGGGCAGGCAAAGCCACCACTGTTTGTACACAAAGGGCAGYAGAGACTGTTTACAGCTCCACCGTTCAGCTCTTCAAAGCTAAATCAGCAGAATAAGAGAGAATTGTTACTAATATATGATATTGGCCTTCATTTTCAGCATTTTTCTTCCTACTGACCTCTAATTTAATCTTCACTGATTTGGGGCACTCACAGATGCTTCATTCAGTGCCTCATATGTTTGCACATACTTGGAAGTTCATTTGGAAAGCAATGTATAGTTGCATAAAAACAAAGAGTTAAAAAGCTTTCCTGTTTTCAAGTCAACACTGAGGTGCTGAATTCATGGTGGTCTTGGAGTTGAGTTTTGCCCTTTTTTGATCCCTCCCATGGCCTGAATGAGATGCAAGTCCTGAGGGAAAAATAATATATTATTATGCAGTTGAAAACAGTGCATACCAGGAGCACTTACAAACTTTATGAGCCCTTAGTAAGGGAGAGAAAGGGTAGTTTTAATCCTAGAAAAATAACCCGACCATATATTTTTGTGTATCTTTCAGCCACTATATAATAAATTTTGATCATTTTATTGCATTGAGGATGGATTTTTAAATGTAATGGTCGAATATTTGATAACAATGATACATGATACAGTGCAAAGGTAAATGTTAGGAAAAAATCTAAGCGGGGTGAATATCTTCATATCAGTTTACAGTCTCTCCAGTGTGTAAAGTATATTTTGKTTTTTTTCTTTTTGTCTTTGTCACATTTGTTTTCATCATTGCTGACTCTTTTCTCTCTCTCCTCTGTATTCTCCACTGGGGGCAGCTCCATGGCGTGGAGAGCATGTCTTTTAAAATCTGCGTAATTTATAAAATAGAGGAATACTGCAATATCTTAGTAAAGGTCTACTTCTATTTCATTAAAACTGCTTTTAGAGGTATTACTGTTTAACACAAATTTTGCYGATATGAAGCTCTTGCGTTACATGCACCATGATTATTTCATGTAGTACTATATGGGTAGTACCAGGGTAGTCGGAGGATTCTGGAAGAATCAGAAGCCACCGTACGTTTTTCTGTCTATAGACTGACCTGGCCGTTCTCCTGTACGTAAGAAGAGGCTAGAGGAGGGAATCAGGCAGCATTGGAAGCTAAATTTGCTGATCATCTAGTCAAGCAAGAGAGTATCGTCCTAAGCCTTCTTTTTTTAAAAACTGTAAGGCTTAACTGTATTAGACTGTCTTTTTGAATGTCTTGGCAAGGTTCAATTTGGTAGCATAAAACAAAGAATGTTTGATTGCTTTGTATATATTCCAAATAAACAATAAACAAACCACCTTTTTGTTGGTGGGGCTGTTTTTTTTCTTTTCCTTCTTTTCCTAGGATCCCTTGGATCCCATGAGAACAGCCATTGTGATCAGCTCTTTGGTGGCAGGTGGAGTAGCTGAGCGTGGAGGGGAACTTCTACCAGGTGACCGCTTGGTTTTTGTAAATGACAAGTCTTTGGACAGAGCCACTTTAGCAGAGGCAGTGGAAGTGTTGAAATCTGTACCACCAGGTACAGTTTCTCTTGGAATCTGCAAACCTTTGGTGGTAAGGGCTGATTTTWTTTTTTTTTTCCATCTTATTCTGTGATGAACTTTGACAGTATTGCTGTATTTTCTGGGAAATTCAGGGCAGAAGTACGCATGCATGTGGAAAGCAGAGAAGTTGCAATACACACTCTTTATAACCACACAAAACTCTGGACAGCTGAAAATGTCAGGATGGGCAGCTGTATGTCCTGGTCTGACTGTAAAACCAGAGTTCTCAAATTCTTCCTGAAAGAACAAGCAAGTGGATTAGAGGATGTGTCTGGGCAAAGCTGGATGGGCACTGGCCAGACACACGGTTGCATTGTGGTTCCAGCAGTTTGGCGAATCATTTAAATATGTGCCAAAGCCATTTCTCTCCAAGACGATGTAAAGCAATTGCTRAAGTTCCACTGACATCAAAGAAACTTAATCTGTCTGAGGTCAAGACTGTAAATTCAAGTGCAATTTCCTTTTTCTGGACGCAGGACTTTGGAGCAGACAGTAGTTTACCTGGGAACACTGCTGCATTGTTCATCAAGGGCACCCAGGCAAAATTAATTAAAGTAAAGCACCATCTAATAGAAAGTGCTTGTAATTCAAACTGATAAAGGAGTGATGAAATAGGAATGCTATTAGGGAAGGTTGTTAAATACATTCTCTTCTCTTTTTAAAGAAAGAATAGTTTTAATGTTCATATCCTTGTATATGTCTTCCTGTCCTATATTTCTTTATTTTTACTAGGTATGTGCTAGTGTTTTAAAAGAATAAAAACTATTTTCTTTACCTCCTCTATTTCTGGGACCTTTCATTTAATTTTTCTCCTCTTTTATAACTGCTGCTTCTCTCTAGTTATTTTGACAATGTGGGATGTTTTTGGTGTGTTTCCTGACTTACCTTTCTTATTGCCTTTCTTAGGGAGAAAGCAAAGATGACACATGCAACATGGATCCCAGCAATATTAAAACCACCACTAGATCTCCAGAACCATCAGTAGATAATTTCTCAATAATACTTGAAGCACCACAGGTATTTGATTACTTTTTTTGGTTCAGCTTAAGCTTATAGGGGCAGCAAATACAATCTTTAAGTCAGAAAATAGGGCCGCCTTCAGAAAAGACTTCAGTTTTGGATGGGGCTCAGTTTTGAATCTGTGATGAATTTGGTAGTCTGGTTAGGATTCCCACCTAAAGTAGGCTCTAATGGCTAATTGTGCTGGGAACACAAAATGGTACTTACAGATGCAGTTCCTGGGCTGCTTTATTAAATTTATTATATTGTTAAAATACCTTAGGTTACCTTGGATATGAAATGGGAATGCTACATTACTAGTAACCTTTTTTTCTCTCTTATTTTCTTCCTTTGGTTTTTGGAAGAAAGTAAAATGTGGAAGCAGAACACATGCAATGAAGCAAAAAATAAAATCCAATGCACAATGCAAGCTTTAAATCTGTTCTTCATAGACTTGCCATGTGCTCTTGAGTAATTTCTTTAATCTCTTTCTCAATTACTCTCATATTTTTGAGTAATCTGTTTATTATGGGAAGCTAAGGCACTGAGGGTAGTGAGAAACTTGGAGGGTAATAGGCAATACCATTGCAATGCTGATCTGTATGTGATGAGATGTGGATCTTTTGAGAGCAGATAGAAATTCAAAATGCTTTGCAAACATGAATGAATTCATCTTGTTAACTATATTCTTTTTAAACTGAAAATTAGTGAAGATAATCCAGAACTGCAACGTGGTGATAAATTCTGGATTTCGTATTCAACTTCTTAAACCTGTTTACCTGTCTTTAAACACAAACTGATCTTAAACACAAACCAATCTTTAAGACTGAAGCAATAATTAAATGACCAAGACAAGCAGTATAATGTGGTAGAGGTAGGGAGTGTTCCTTAAGAATCAGTTGTCCTCTGCCAGCCTGAATAGCTTCTCTACTTCATAAAACAAAGCTAATGCTATTATTTTAAGTATTTTCTTTAAATAATGTTTTGTTTAGAAGACCTGCTAAATGTGGAGGCTAGACTGGTTGGTTTTTGTAAAATAAAGAAGAGGTATTTGCCTGTGTTTTGCCTTATATACCATGCCTCTTATAGTAACTTAGAGAGATGATATAAAATTTCCATTCATTTATTATCCTATCCACTCATATAAGCGCCAAGAACGGTGCGTCACGATGACTTGCACCATTATGCTGTGCCGTAGTGCTGACAAAAGAAGGCTATGTGGTCTTTTTTAGAAAAAATATATAGGAACTTGAATGCTTGCTGCAATGTGGAGTCTACTGTCATATTTGCGGTGCTCTCCACGCCGTTGGTAGCGTCTGCTACTGCAGTGCAGCAGTGTGTGATTACCCAAAGCTAAGTGCTGTATCAGGAGATGGGGGATACAAATTGCTGCGTGGTCTCTGAGCTCAGGCAACTCCTTTATATAACGCTGGAGTTGGTGCCTCTCACAAGAGCAGCGCTTGGGGAACGGTGCCGCTGCAGTGAAATGAGGCTCTTCASACCGGGTACTTTTTCATATGGAAGACAAGAGGGCAGATGCATTAAAGGAATATTTAATGCCTTGGAAAAAATGTGGTAACTTCTGGATTGCTAATGTTCTGTGCTTGTGCTGGCCAAGGCTGCTGCCTTGTTGCTGCTGCGCTTGCCTGCCTCTTCTTTTCTGATTTGGGCTGCATGCAAACCTAACCAAACAGAATCCTGGTRCAAGGGTTGGAAAGAGCGAAGCAACTTGGGGAGTCTGGGAAGGGGCAGGAAGGACAAATCAAACACTTGGAATTGGTACCACTGAATACGTAGCTTTGTGTGGGTGCCCAGTGCCCGGCAGGCAGGTTTGGGAACACCTCCGTGGTGACCTTCAGCAAGGAAAGGGTTGTGCTGTGTTCGTGTCAGACCTGTGGGAGCTGTGCACGGTGCAGCGCTGCGGGAAAAYTGCGCAGGGGCAAGCTGGAGGCGGGCTTGCTCAGGAGCCACCTCATCTGGTTTAGGAGAAAAGATGGTGTGAAACTGGGGAGGAATGGGCCAAATCCTTGGGCAAGGTCTCTTGGGCGTTGGATTTGAAGACCTTTTTTTTTGGCTCTATCCTGCCTTGCTCTGCACTGTGAAGTAAGTGGAAAACTGAGCATTCTTCTATTGATAACAGCAGGGATATGAGACAGGCAGCAGGAATTAGCCCTTCCTCTCTCCAGTTCCTTGGGCCGCCTTGATGTTGGATTGAGTGAGGGTGATTCAAAATGACATAGGACATCTAAGGCCTAGGCTAAAATGACTTCAAAAGAGTTGGAAGGAACCATAACGTGAAATCTGTATTACTGTAATGTTTTGCACAGGGCTTCAGAGATGAAACACCTTTTAAAGAAGAGCTTGTTGATGATCCAATTTTGGATTTAGGAAGGTCATTTCAGCTTCCTCAAAAGGATATGGAGTACGAGAAGGAGTCCTGGGAAATGCATGAATTTCTGAAACCTAGAACAGAAGTAGATGAAGAGCGGGAGATGTTGGTAGATGACGAGTATGAAGTAGATTCTGACTTCATGAAATACGACGTGTCTAGTGGACAGAAGGCAACTTCAGAAGACCTTGGCTCTACAGAGCAATGGGCAAAGAAACTTGAGATGCATACAATGCAAGACATAAGATCTGGTGTTGACTTCAGTCAAAAACAGTCTCTGGAATATCCCCTCAATAAAGAGCTGGCGGTAAGGAAAACTGGGGAGTCTCAGTGYCATATCCTGACCATGAGGACCTACCTGTCAAGCACTAAAATCTGTAATGAGCTTCTCTTGTGTAATCAGTAGGTTAGAACTGACTACCTCCAACTGTTCTTGTACAGAGTTGCATTTTGATTGCTGTTCTACAGAAGGTCCTGTTATAACATTAGGGAAGGCTCTCTCAGTTCCTTGGTGTCTGTGTATTTAAGTGCTCGAATGATACACGCCCTGATCTGCGTAGTTACAGACATCCTGCACTTGGGTCATTTTCCCCATCTCTGACTTCTGACTCATTCCTTTTTTGCAAGCTGTGCTAATTTGATGTGTTTCAGTAATAGCAGAAGGTTAGGTCAGGTCACGGATGTAATAATCCAGAGGCTTCAGCAACAAAGACAGTGAAAGAAGCTCCTGTTTTCCTCCTTATTTTTAATCCTGATCAATTCYATGAGCCAGATGATACTGCAATTGAGCACAAAATGATACAGGGGAAGCAATTGTAACAAGGATACTGGTGGATAAAGGAGCAGAAGCAGAGATAGCTTTGGGGATATTGCCAAACTCTTATTTATGCATCCTCCTCAAGTGCTCCGAGATTTTTTTTTTCCCCCCTTTTGAGTCTTTGTTCATTCACTTGCTAAACAAAAAAAGTGATGATAATGGCTTTCGGTGCAGCAGCTTCTGAGGGGAATGCTTTTATATGAAGAAACAGAAACAAAAATGAATTTAAAATCACAGCCACCAACAATTTCAAGATTGCCTGTTTTGTCCCCTTCTGCACTATATTTTACCCTATATATAAAAATAGGGTAAAATGTGGTTTCAAGTGCCACTTTTATGCTACAGTACCCAATATGCAATCCATATGTTTGTCACTGAAAAACAACAGATGAGCAAGTCAATAAATTCTTGTCTGGATTAAAGACATGTAAAAAGATGTGATGATTGTTTTATTCTGTAGTTGTTCATACTATTTTTCACACCTCTCTTCGATACAGTGCTTAGATGAGCACTTAGCATTTCCTAGTTACCTGAGTAAATAAATATAAATGTACCTCAGAAAATCTGTGTATTTGCTGTAAAATCCACACTTGTATGAAATACTGCTGGTGTTTTCTAACTGTGATTGCCTTTTCTTATCCATGCAGTATGAAGAAAATGCAAGTGTAAGTTCAAGATCTTCTGGAACCACAGCAGACAGCAGCTATCAGACAAGCATTTTTGATACTGAAATTATGCAGCCGGGAGCAAAGAACAAGATGGATTTAGGTTTGTAAGAAGCTTTTTCTTACATTTTAATTTCTTATTTAGAAAATGTAGCTTTAATACCAAACTACAAATTTGTGTTCAATCTTTTGAATGAGATAATATTCAAATGAAGAGATCTACAGACTCAAGGCAGTTGAGCTTCAAACAGATTCCAGCTTCATGATCCTGCTTCTGCCTCCAGATATTGCCCTACCATTGCCCCAATAACAGGGAAAAGTGGCTGCAGCTGCAGGGCTTTGCTTTCCACTATTAGTGGAGAATTGGTGTGTAGCCATGTCCCCAGTGGACTATATACCTAAGCAAAATAGCTCATGGCTATTTCTTTCAGGAATTTGGCTTTCATCACATTTCACTCCTGGTTCTGTAGGTTTTCATACTTAAAATAATAATAGTGATAGGCTGTGGGGAGGGGGAATGCTAAAGGCTCACGGGGTAGTTCCACCACTACCAGCATTTGCAGTGAACTCAATGGTAGGTGATTGTGCTGTATCATGCTTTTGTATCACTGAATGATTAAGACTGGAGGGGACCTTCAGACATGATCTAGTCCAACCCCCCTGCACCCATAGGGTAAATTAGAGCATGTTGCATAGGATCTGATCCAGGTGGGATYTGAAGATCTCCAGGGAAGGAGACTTTACCTTTCTGGACAACCTGATCCAAGGGCTCTGTAACCTTCAGTAAGGGGTTTCTGTGGTGGCATTTTGTGCTCAGGAATCTCCATCCTGATCACTGAACTCTGACTTAGTGTCCATGCTGCCTCTGAAGGCATTTGGATTATTGTCCCTGTGCACAAAGATTTTCCTTGCTGGATCTGAAGCAGTCCTGTAGGCTGCCTGTGTTTTAGCTTTCTGCTGCCTGCCTCACTTGGAGCAGGGAGCAACCTGGTCAGGCAGTAGGAACGGTAGCAAACAGGCTGATGCTCCAAGTGATTTCTTGGAGAGGGAGGGAGAAGAGGTTGGGATGGAAATTTTAACAAGCCTTTTCTTCAGTTCTGATCTGGATTGGTGATGTTTCATTACATTGACATACATATTTTGAGCCATTACTTCAGGGCCTAATTAATTTTTTCCCTAAATTAACAGTTGGAATTTAGTACACTATCCAGGGACTAATTTATGAACCTGCCTGAGATTGCACTTGCTTGTTGGGAGAGAGGAGGTTGGTTTTGTGTTTTGTTTTTTCCCTTTCTTTGTCACCCAAATATCTCATGCTGTTGGGTGTGTAAGCCACACTGGTACACTGATGACTCTAGCAGGGAGCTGTGGTGGCTTAATTAATGTTAATATTTATGGCACCAAAATGACATCTATTTTCCCCAGTGTGCTGTGCTGCTATGCTGGAGCATGGGTTTGCTTGCAGTGTTCYCTTTGCATGTGGAATGAGGGAATGACTTTGGTGTTCCTAATTGTGCGTTTCTGTGGGAATCATTTCTCGTGTACCTCAGCTGTCTGTGTTCCACAAAGATTTGGTGTTTTCTGTTCCTGCCTGAGTAGATAYGTCAGCAGGTATGTCAGAAGCAAGATGATATAAAAAAGTGGTTAGTGTTGTTTAAACTTTCTACAAAAAGGTATGTTTTGTATCTCTAAGTCTCTTGATCACCATTGATCATCATGCAACACCCATACCTGGAGCAAGGCGAGCTAAGAGGCTTATTTCCAAGGTGCATTGTGAGGTGCAGGCACAGAAGCAGCAGATGTTTACATCTCTACCTTTTCTTCTTCAGGCACAAAGCTTCAGTTTGACTCAAAGGTACCTGCCCTTCCTGTTGATCCAGAAGCGACTGAAAAGGAACTAAAAGAAGACAATTCTATTGTTTCTAAGAATCAGGAATATGGAAGGGGAACTGCCTTACCTCAATCTAGAACAGCATTGTACAGGTACAGAGAAAGGATTTCAACTTTCAGGTAGTTTTCAGTTATCCTCTCAGTTTGTTTCCTGCTTTACTGATCAGTTGTTAGACGCTGTGTGAAGCTGCAGGTGTGCGTTGGTAGTGGCTAGTCCTCTGTCTTCTGCACAAGTTGYTGAATTCTGCAGCTTGTTCTGAATTTCTACTTGCCACATTTCTTCTCCCTGAGCACTGAGGACAGAAAAGTGCCTGTGGCTCTGCCACCTGCTTCCCTTATGCCTGGCTGCGTGGAGAGCCAGAAGAAGGGATGTGGTGGAGGAAAGTTGCATGGAGCAGTGGTAATGGTCCTTCCTGCTGAGAGCTCTGCCATTAGCTCCTTGTCACAGCTCTGTCTTTTCCCCTTTCCTTTGTTTTTCCCCCCTCGTCCTTTGGAGATGGCAGTTTACTTGTGGCTCACAGGCCTATGCAGGAAAAAGTATGTTTTGCCTGTGCTGCTGAGAAGCCTTGAGCTGGCAGAGGTAATAAATACTTGCTACATACGTCAAGTATCCTGTAATTCTGAGTGAAAGCAGCTCAATGAATAAGAAGGGATTATTTTGCCAGCACAACATCCAGTTTTGTTTTTTTGCAATGTAAGGGTTGTGTTTACAGCTTTCAGGATCTGCAGAAAATCTCTGCAAAGGTATGTTCTTTGAAACTTCTTGTGGAAATTTCTTCAAGAAATTTCCTATTTCTTGAGTAATATATGGTTTAATTACTATGCACTCTGGGGTGTTTAGTGGACTGCACAGAATCTGTTCTCCCAATTGTATCACATTTGGCTTTCTGGTCAGCTGGCCTTTTTTAACATCTGTGTATCACTCTAGAAGAATCACAGCAGATTAATTAGTAAGTAAACATAGTTTGAATAGCCATTTAGAATGAGTTAAAGTAGTAGATTTAAACAGGGTGGTGTGAGGCATTGCTGTCATAGTGCCAGATACAAATGTGAAAGGAATTGTGACCTGACAGGTGTGATGACTCTCTATTTTGTATTCCTTCCCTCCCTCTGCTCCCAATTAGTGAGTTACCTGAGAGAGAAGAAGGAGAAGGAGAAGAAACTCCCAACTTCAGCCATTGGGGACCACCACGGACGTATGTTGATATACTTGACCTATTTCTCATTTGCCTTATGTCTTTTCTTCTGTGGAAGAGACTGAGTTCATTTACTTCCAGACCCACCTGTTTGCCTGGACTTGCTCTAAAGCACRAACTTATCGGGAGGGCAGTGGTCTTGTGTTTCTGTTGTTTTTGTAGGGTAAGGTCACCTCGGGATAAAGAAACACCTTCTTTTTAAACCATTCTTGTGYATCTGCTTTATCCATTTACTGTCAAATCTTCTTGAAAGACCAAAAGCTCACATTTGTTTAAGGCTCTGCATTTAATAGCTTCAAAAGTTATTTCAAGCTGTTAAACTATTGCATGCGTTTTTCAGCGTTGAAATCTTTCGAGACCCTCACGTGTCTCTTGGAATCAGTATTGTTGGTGGACAAACTGTCATAAAGCGCCTGAAGAATGGAGAGGAACTTAAAGGGATCTTTATCAAACATGTCTTGGAAGACAGCCCAGCAGGAAGAACAAGGGCTTTAAAAACTGGAGATAAAATACTTGAGGTACTTTTTCTTTTTTAAAGAAATAAAGATTGACTGAGATAGCTTTGGGGTGGGAGRGACAAAATACTGCCACAGCTTCGTGAAGTGTTTTATGGTGATGTGTCTGGAAAACCAAATTAAATTCCTCCAGTACTTTTCATTCCAGGTCCTAATACAGAGAGTTTTTAAGATCCTCTTGTTTATTAGGAAAAGATAGGTTAGGTCCTGGTTTCTAATGCTTAAACAAAAAATGCCATTCTGTCCATTTAAGTGAAGAATAAGTACTTTGTTTAAAGTAGCATTGTTTGCATAGACTCTTCATACTGCAGTTTGGACTGTTATTTGGAGTGTGGTTTGGAGTAGCTGATGGTCTGGTTAACTACTGTTTGAGGGAAATCCCTGGTTCTAGTAGATAATTTGGGGTATCTACTTAGGGAATGGCATTTCTGGGAATGCTGTCACCTCTGGCTCGATGTTGATTTTTGCTTGCTCCAAAGGAATTTTCCTGGTCTGGGGGTTCCCAGGCTGACAGTGCTGTTCTAGCATGTGATATTTTGAAGAACAGTTTCAAAACAGATTTATCTTATAAATGCGCTAAACCTGAAGAAGGCATGTTGAGTCTAACACTATCTGACAAGTCTTATTCCTTATTTTTTTATCTAGAAAAATTGCTTTGGGAAATATGCAGCCTCTCTTTAGCTGTTAACACCAAGTAAGATGCTTTTTCTTAAAGCATCATAGAAAAATACTTTTAACATCATTTCTTTTGACTGCTTTTGGTACCTTACTGTGATGCCCTGATCTGAAAGAGTGTGACTTCTTCTAGTGACTCTGTGCGAGAGAGAAACTCTCTAATAAAAAATAAATTGTTTGTTAGGTTTCTGGAGTGGACTTGCAAAAYGCCACACATGAGGAAGCAGTAGAAGCTATCAAGAATGCAGGGAATCCTGTTGTGTTTGTCGTCCAGAGCTTGTCCAACATGCCAAAAGTGAGTTTTTCTATTTTTATTCCAGAAATTAATAAATGTATGATAAATATCTTAAGCTTGGCTACACTTTTTCCAGCAAGATTTTTCTAATTTATATCCCTCCTTTCTTGTTGCTTATGGACCTGCAGTTATCTTTTTGGTCTGATTCTAAACTTTGGTTCTCAGGTGTAAATCTAATAGACCTAAATGGTGAATTTTGTATTTGTAAATAAGTATATTGAATGGGTGGTGATTTAGGTCTGCCACGTGTACTTGACCTGTGTGTTTTATTTTGCATTTCACAACTAACAATATTCTCTAAAATTTGAATGCAAGCATGTAGGTGAGAGTACTTCCCCCTGGGGAGGAGGCTTGCAGAGACAGGGAGGGCAGAAATYGCAGTGGGACTATCTGAGTTGGCTCCATTTCTGTATTTGACCTTTTACAGAAGATAAGGAGGAAAAAAAAAATAAAATAAATTCACCATAACATTGGAATGTTTGACTGCCTCTCTGAAGCTTACTTACCTCGGCAATCAAAAGGGATCTAAGGAAAACTGGAATACTGGATATTCTGGTGTTTGGCTGTGTGAAGGCTGAGGTGGAGCAACCACAACTAAGTGCGCGCAGCTGCTGTTCACCAAGACAGGGTGCTGCTAGAAGAGTGATTCAGCTATAGGTCAAGTACCTGCAGTAGTGCAAATGCATTAAGAAAAGATGTTTCTCCTTGTAAGGATAAAGAGCGTTAGAGAAGAATATTATGCAGTGGCTAAGCATGCACTTTTCTGTATGATGTTCATCAGCAGGGATGTGAGTCTCTTTCCTGCCTCAGTAGGTAACAGATGGAGATTGAGATATTTATTAGGAATTTGAAGTACTAAGGTTAGTAGAGAAATGATTTCACATGGGAGCTCTGGACTGCTTGCAGTGCAGCTTTTGTTTGAGAAATTTCTGCTGTTGGCTTTGGGCAGCCACATGATTGTTYCTGATTAATCATTCTAGAGTGATGTTTTCATAGTCTTTTTAACTGTTTTCGTAATGAACTACAATCCATGCTTTTTTTCCAAATAATTTCTTTCTACTGTATGTCTTTTTGAGCAATAAAAATATGATAGTCTGACACTTGCTCATTTGATTTTTACTTTCTAAAACATAGTATTCAACTCTGTTTAAAGAACTGACACTTATTCAGAAGTCTTTATTGTGTTCTGTATCAAGTATGCACCTTCGTAAGTTAACTTCAGACTAGTATTTTATTGAATGGAGAGATGGGGTCAGACATCAAACAGTGAGCCCTAAAAGAAATACCAAATGTTTCTAATTTCCTTAAAAGCAAGTAATTTAAAGACTGTGTTATGATGGTCTTCTACACTGGGCAAAATGAAGGCCATGCTGGGAATCTTCATTGTTGTCATTACCTAATTCTTTTGGTGTTTGCTTTGTAACTGAAATGCTCTTTTTAGTATGCACAACATATGCATTATGTTTTCAGGTGGCTTCTGCTGTGCAGCCTAAGGGGACCAAAGCACAGGATGCAGACAAAGAAAATAAGAATGAAAAGGTATTCATTTTCCTTTGAATGCTATACCCAAGTTTTATTAAATCAAGTGGAATTACAGCAACTTGTATTAGAAATGGATGTTAAGCATTTGTTGAAGTCTGAAGTTATGTTGGAAAAGGTTTCATTGAAACYTCTGTGGTTCTGTTTTTGCCAGATCCAAGGCAAAGCAAAGGACAAATTTCCTTTGGGTCTCTGCTGGCTGCTGTAGCTGCACATCTCCTGCAGCTCTTCACTGACACCTYTCTGAAAGTAGAGTAGCTTTGCCCAGTTTGAAGGCAAACTGATTGCACGTGCTCAATGGAAAGATTACTGTGTACATGACTAATATGTGTAATTTGAGGCTCACCAAAGTTCAGCAAGATCATGTCATAGGATAAAGAGAGCACAAGGAAATGACCATGTTATCTGTAGTTGGCTTACRACTGGGTTAGAAAGTTTCTGTGCAGTAGTTGCTAAAGACCTGATGGCAGATTTWAAAATAGACTCTCTTCTGCCTAAACCAGTGCATTTGCTCTGGTTAATCTGCAGCTGTAACTTCTCCCTCTGACAGCCYGCACTAAGGACCAAGGTGTCTTGCTGTGCACATCCTTTCTGGGAGCAGGTGGATAGTGCTGGGCAGGTACTCTGAGTGCATCACAGCTAAAGGAAGAGGGACACAACTAGCGTGGGCAAGAACTTTTGTCCAGAGCAGTTTAAAATGCCAGCTATGAACGTGATAAACACTTTGTTCGAGCTCACTCAGTTCTCTGGTATTTTTTGGCAGACTCAGAAGGCCCTCTGGCTTCAGAAAGTTTCTGTAAGCCTCCTTTCAGCTCCTGTCAGCTTCAGAAACCATGAGGTGCAGTTATTCCAAAAAATCAAGAAAGGTGTTGAAGTCATGCTTTTATGCCAGTGGATAATAGCTATAATGAAGCAGTTACAATCCCCTTTTCTTGGTTTTGTTATCTATATTTCTAATCTAAAAAGCGCTCATCCACTTGCAATGTACTGCCTTTAATCTCCAGGACTCCAGCATGTTGCGTCCCATAGTGTTAGGAGGTTAAAGAGTGAGCTTAATCTTTTGCAAACYGTTTTCATCTACTGGTGCTGTAAACTAGTGGGTGGAATATTGAAGAGCTTCAGTGCGGAAATATGTAGCTCCTTTTTCCCTTTGAGCATTACTTCACAAAGCAGTCATACTGTGCTACAGTAGGGGCAGCTCTGAGTTAGAAAGAATTGCTATTAGTGGATTACTAGCCTGCATCCCYATGGGAAGTCACTGATATTTCGAGTCCAGTCTTCAAAGTGCCACAAAAGAGTGGGGCTTGAAAGCAGCCATATTCAATTGGAAAATCTGCATCTTCCTATATGATGAATTATCTTTTCAATACTGCATTTTTTTGCTCTTTTTTTGGTGTGTGTTTATCCCCCTCTCGATCCGTTTGTTTAAAACAATCACTTGAACTCATTTGTATAAACAAATGTAAAATAATATCTTTGAAATGTAAAATAATATCTTGTGAACTAGATATTATTTTGCAGCATGGCTATCAGCATGCAAGTCAGAATAAYTTAGGCTTAAAAAGCAGCAAGATACTTCACAATATTGAGTTCAAGGAGAATAATGATTCTATAAATCCGTTTCTTCCACTGATGACCTCTCTTTGGAAACAGTGGTAGCATGGTGCCTCCCATAAAAATCAAAGGAAAGAACAGCTTATAAAAAAAGTGTATAACTTTTGGACATAAACCTTTGAGAAGTAATTCTGGGTAATGAGGAAGAGTGTGCACATGTCAGACTTTTATTTATTTTTCCCCCTTGGTAAGCACTTTGTTTTCGTAGACATCAGACATCTGATAGAAAAGAAACGCAGTTTTTAGTGTTTCTGCCAGAGTGGGACTTTGCCAGCATGACTGTTTTTATGTGTAACTCTAATTGAATGTGTAATCTAGAAATGGTTAAAGTTTTTATATAGTGTAGTCATTTTTTTTAAAGCTTTTCTCTTATCAAGTGGATTCTGAGCGCCCTGAAATCAATACAATTACGTTCTGGTTGGCTCCTGTCTGTGGGCAGAGTTTTAGGATGATTCTTACAAGACTTAGCACATGGGGAGATAAAATGATTTTTCTTAGGCCAGTAAAGATGCTGGAGGGAAATGGCAAGTCTGAGAGTCAGTCCCAAGGTTTTGCAGACTTAGCTCAGTGCTACCCCAAAACCAGAGCGGATTCATCACCAGGATTTTTAGCAGGTGAGAGAAGTCTGTCCTAGGCATCTTGTACAGCTTCCCTCAGACTTTCTAACAAATGCAAGAGGTTTTACTATAACCAAAAGAYCAACATTTAGGCTTTGAATTCCAARGAATTTAGTGATGCTGACTTGAACCTTCTGGATTGTGCTCAGGTCTTCGTKCAAGACGTGCAGAGGCTCCGAGTATGCTGCAGGCTTTGGGGAAATAGCTGTCGTGTCTCAAAGTGCTCTTATTAAGTGCTGTTACTGCAGATTGGCTAAAATGCTTCTGATTTATTACTGTTATGCTGTCTTCAGAGCAGCGCTTCCCTGTTGTAATTGTTAAATGGGCAGGATGATGTAAATCACATCTCAATTTTGTGCGTAGYGTGCATTACAATTTGCTGCTTAGGATATTCCATACAAATTTAGGCGCAGCTTTCCATGTCGTACAGATTTACACAGCTTTCCTCATACATGGCAGAAAAMCGTATTCCAGGTTTGATGTTTGGATGTGGAATCCTAATTCCCAGAATTGGAGGAAGAAATTCACTGGAGGCATTGGGGCTGCCCTAATGGTGTGTTGCACTTGCAGCTCCCTCCCTAAAGTGCATCCTGCCATTAGTGGCGGGGCCGTGTGGGAGACRGCCGAGCAATTTAGTGAAATCATGTAGGCAACGAGGGTATGATCCAGTTACCCCGAGCTATAAAAACAGTGGCTTGGACAAACGAGCTCCTGTTTTCATTAGCTTCGGAGCTGGCTCTTCYTGCCCAATATACGTCGCTATATGCATCGCTATACGAGCTGCCTGTATTTATGTGAGGTAATAGACTTTTCATACAAGTTCTACTTCAAGTTCATTTTTACATTTGAACCAAAATGCCGATGACACGTTATATGCAAATATGCCTGTAGAAACTGCAAGAAGCTTGAGTTTCAGTTTTGCTTAAAGGATTTGCTGACTTTAATATCAAAATTACCTAATATTGCTTGAAATATTGAAATCTTCAAAGTTTCTAATGAGAAGTGCGTTAAAAATTAGTATTTTTAAACCTTGATTCATGTTCATGCTTATCTGTTTACAATGATGCAGAAATGCTGTTAATAAGAGAATATGAATATACTGTAGTATTTCTATATGCAGAGTCGCTTTTTCTGTGTTGCATAAAAGTCTGCACTGCAGATGTAATTATGCCTTGTGTAAATACACACATAGATACTTTAGGACAGAAGGAAAAATAGATTTTATTTTTCTGTATGGAGTATGCAAAGCATGTAACTGTTTTCCTCTGAATCCATTAGAGAAAATATGGGGCTCCACCTCCAATGAAGCTGCCCCCTCCGTACAGAGCACTCGAAAGATGGCACTCGGAGGAAGCTAATGTGGATGAGGAGGAGGAAGCTTGTGCAGAGAGTAAGTAGTGCGATATTTATTAAGTTACATGGTACTTAYGGAGCACGACTGGGTTATGTGAAAAACGTACCTGCCCTTTTGGGCTTGTTTTATRGACATAGTGCCCAGCATGGCAATAAGAGATAGTCCACATGCTTGATCCTACCAGTGGCTACTCGTTTATAATTTAGATGGCCTTCTTTTCCCAGTCAGGCTTGGCTAGCTTTTCTCTTCTGAGCTGATGCAGAAAGGGTTCCATTTAACGTCAGTCCAAGAAACTCAAAGTAGAACCGGGAGGACCTGTTAGCAGAGGCATCAGCAGTGTTACTTTACCCTGGCACTAGCAATGATTGTGTAGACTTTGTCCAAAGAAGCCTTAGTGTCTTTTCTACCAGAGTCTGCAGTTTCATATTAAGACACTTCAAACAAACATTCTCATTAAAAAAAAAAAAAAAAAAAAGGCTGCATTATTATTTAAATAAATTTTTTGGTAGTACCTTTCAAGGGATAAGTTCTGCGACAGTCTGATTTTGAGTGATTCGTAGTGATTGGTACTTTGTGGAAGAATAAGCACCTAAATAGGAAGCAATATCAGCTTAAGAGCTTTCAGCAGCATAATTTAGATTCTAGTATACTATTTTGTTAATTCAAACTTTGGGTAATGGAATATTATTATCCTTCCAATAAAATATTGAAGAATATTAAAATCACAGGTAGAATTCCTAAATTATTTTGTGAAATAATCCACTTAAAGCGAAAGTTCCCAGTTTGAGGCCTCCAGGTGAGCAAGCTCTTCTGCCTGCTCTTGCTGGCTTTGCTCCTGATATTGGCAGTGACAAGTCATTGAAGCTGAGATGGTTAATGAGGTTGGTTGGTTGGTCACTCCTAGGGTATTTTAAGTGGAGAGAAGATGGATCCTGGAAGGTTTTTCTCACAGAAAGGGTAATGGAAGTGCAGGAACAGCCTGCTTGAGTCTGCTTGTGCTTGTGAAAAGCTACTAATTCTTGAAATACCTGGAGAATTTTTTCCAGAACTTCCCCTTAACTTGTGGTCTCATCTGCTTGGAGACTGCATCTTAGGCACTTGAATATTTTGGTGTCTTCCTTGGGGCATAGTGTTTGAGCCAAACTGAGCATTTTAAAACGAATGTAACTAATTTTAAACCAGTTCTACTGGTAAAACACCAGTTGTAAGAAGTTGTTTTCAGGCTATTGTTAATGAAGAAAGCTGTAATTCCCAGTTAAGGGATATATTTGATATATTGTATGATTCTCAAGTTATCTGATTAGTATGTGCCTCAGTTCAAGTGCTTGTTAGACATTTTGCACAGGAATAACTTACCGTTGATGCACTTGGTCATGTTTTAGCTGTTTTGCAATTCCTAATGGAATTAGGAATTCCGTTCCATTCCTCAGCTGAGACTGATAGCTGAAAGTAAAGCTACTTCTGATATTACATTGATCAATTCAGCCAGAGTGGGCAGCAGCGAGTGCACTAATCCTGTTGTCTCTGTCCTTTATACTGACTGTTATAACATTGCTTCCATGAATCTTCCAAAAGCAAGATGTGCCACTTTCTCTGCCCCCTGCCTCACTCTTTTTCCTTAMAAAAAGCAGCCTAAGGAACTCTAAACTAAGTTTGTGCCTCAACCCTTGAAGTAAAAGCTGTGTTAGAAACGCTGGGCCTGTGCTTAAAAGGATATTAAGCAGCTGGGTAACTCTGAAAGGAATTTTTAGAGAGTATCTTTCTTTGTAAAGAAAGTCTTTTCCATCAGGAATTCCAACACCGTATTATTTCTGTGAACTTAATTTGATAAGCTTCACTGACAGCAGGTAGATTAGATTTATTGTGTCTTTCTTATATGAAAGATCAAAAAAATAAAGTCCACTGGGTAGATCTTTGTCATAGTCTGTGCTCTGTTCCCTTCACCTCCTGTCCGTGTGCCCAGAGCGTGAAAGGACTTGGTGGCATTTTGAGGTGAACGAGCTGTTAAATCAGTGCCTTCTGCTCAGTGTCCTCGGCTTTTCATCCTGATGGATTTTTCTTCTTTTTCCTTTTTTATCCCTCTTACTACTGCAGCTGCAGTTTCATTCATTGATTTGTCTCCTATTCCAGAAATAATTTCCTTGTTCCACTTGACCTGAGTTTTTTCACGTCTTTGCTTATCGTTCCCTCCATGGGAGTCCCTTGCAGTCACCCTACTCTGTCTCGATGTTCTTCATTGGTCCCCATATTGAAAGCAGAAGCTGAGCGATCTGTGAGATTTTCTGCTATATTGAAAATTGTTTATATCCTTTTTATCCCACTACGTAAAAGTCTCTCCCTGTTTTGTCTGTTCCCCCCTTTAAGGGGCTGAATAACCTTTTGGTAATTTCCCCTGTGGGATCTAAATCCACTTACCTTTTGGCAGTGCTCCCTTTTATTTGTATGTTTTTCCACCACTGAAACAGCAGCTTTCTCTGCTGGCCCGTTGTAACAAACGGTCAGTTCTTGTAGATATTCTGCCTTTTATTTCAGAGGTGGTTGCTCACCCAAAGAGGGTGAGCCCTTGCTGGAGGTAGAACTGCTACACAGTTCTTGGTTTTGGAGAAATTCCAGGAAATCTCTATGTTCCAGGGCTTTAATTCCTCAAGTCTGACTTTACTATGAAATTTTAGCATTTTTTTCAAATGTCTCCTTGAAAGTAAGGTTCTTAGCTTCAGTCTTCTTTATTTCAGCCTAATTTGAACCATTTGCGATCACTGCCTCCAAAGTTACTTTCTGTATTTGAAGTTCTTGAGGTTTTTTTGCTGGACATTGGGGGTAAGCTGAAGACAGAATTTCCTCTTGTGTTAATTCTTCTTGTAGTGATCCTGTCAAAATSTTCATCTGTGTTGGACCCTGGGTGTTCTGCTTATTTCTTTACTCTGACTGTGCTGTTGTAGAGGCTTTCAGTTTGCTGTTAAAAATAGTTTTGTAAAACAGCAGCATGTGAGGAAAATGGTAATGGTACAGGTAGGACTGGAGGAGAAAGACCAGCCTGCCTGGATTTCTAGAGAAAGGCAGGATTTGTTTCCTTCCTCACTTGTTTAACTCGTTGTCTGCCATATTAACTTAATGCCTCTTCAGTGTGCTGCAAAAAGATCCAAATCCTAAAGTCGTGAAGAATTAGAGTTGTGGTTTGGGGTCCATTCTCCCATAGTGGGAACTGTCTGTGGTGGAGGCTGTTTTTGTGGAGGTCACTTTCTGCATGTAGACATTATTTAGCTTTTCCAAACTTTCTAAACATGAGGTTTTGAAGAGAATTATTTCAGTCAAAGCAAAGAAGTAAAGGGGAGAGTGTACAGGGAGCTATTAGCCCTTGCAGGTGGCTGTGCTGCAGGCACATCTATAGGTACCAGTGGGGTTTTCTATAGTAGTGGATGGACATAGGTATGCTCTAAGAATCTGCTAATAGACTAATGTGCATCTCGATGGGGCTTATTATTCTAAGGGATTAGTAATGAAAAGAAGCAGAGGAAATGGATGGGTAGCATGGTTGGTAATTAAGTGTTTCATAAGTTTTCCTCTGGGCATTAGTAACAATGCAATTTAGATGTACTTTTTCAGTTGAGTTGAGGACAATAAGTTAGATGGGAAAGACCTTAAAAACATTATAAGAAAATTAAGATGWAAGCTATTTGAAAACCTTGGAATCCATAGTTGTAACAAATGTTAGATTTTTTTTACTAAAATCTCTTTGTCTAGCTGAAATACTAGTTGATCTGCTTCATTTCAAATAAGTTTAAGATAGTAAAAATAGGTAATAGAAAACTATTAGTSCAAGGTGGCTAAGATAATGGAGTAGATGCTGCTGTGCTCAGAATTCCCATCTGCTGGGATTTTTAGCTGTATCATAGTCTTCCTCCCCTTTTTGGTCTCTAGACCATGTAGACATTAATGCAGCAGCAAGAAAGTTTAGTGATTTAGCTTCTTCAAGTGCTTCCTGAGGAATGATGGCTTCTGCTACCAGAACTGKAGATTTTTGGATCTCTGATGCTTCCCTTTACTTAGAGTGAAGGGGATGTGGGTATAACTTGTACACCTTGGTTGGGACAGACCCACGCTAGGGTAGAAGGTGGTTGGCCATATGCACATGAGATGGGGTTATTTTTCATTTCCAAAGAACCCCCTAAAAACCCCAAAGAGAGCTTGTCTGAGACCCTGCAAGTATGGTCAAGTGCATCTGCTGTGCAAAGACGTGACCTCGGGAAGCCTCAAGKGCTGTTGTGAGCTAAGATGCCAAARCTACTGCTGTCACTTTGGAAAAATGCCAGAATTGCTGAAAAGGATATAACTAAATAAAACCAAAAACATTGGTAAATCAGCATAGCTCCCAAGAATTGAGTTTGTCTTTTTATGTAAAGCTGTGCTAAAACAGAGGGGAAAAAAACAAGACAAAACGAAACAAAMAAAAAAAAMCCCTAAACATTCAAAATTAGGRTTCAGGTGAGGTGGCTCATGTAGCCAAACGCTGCCTCTCCAATAGATGTCACTGCAATCAACAGCAAATAGTGAAGATGTTCAGGGAGTAAGATGTGGCCAGGAAAAAGCCTCAGGCTTCATAAAATGTTGGAAAAATAATTATTGCCATAGTTAACATAATATTTAACAAAATTTAAATCACTGTGTGTGCTTTCAGTTGGGTGCGTTTTCAAAGATGGTGCAAAAGCCAGGATTAGACAAATAGAGCAGTGATTTTCATTTTTTTAGCTCTAGGTTAATCTGTATTTAATATGACTCTATACTGCTAATCTTCTTTTCTCATTCTTATTCTGAGTCATAATTAGCTAAAATATGTAGKTTTTGTAGCCAGTCCTAATAAAAGCCTCAGAAGGACTATACACTTTGGGCAGCCTTGCAAGCTGTTGTACTGCGTGAGGATAAATTGCCATTGGTATTGCAGTTTGGGAATTTTTTGGAGTTTTATTATTGAGGGCTTTTTTACTCTGTGTTTGCAAATCACGTGTACAGTTCTCCTCCGATGCAGAAGGAAATTAGAT